ATCTGCGTTATGCAGATGACACAACTTTACTTGCTAAAAGTGAGGACTTCAAACGTTTGCTGAAGAAGACCAAAGACTACAACCTTCAGTGTGGATTACCTCTTAACATCATGAAAACAAATATTCTCACCACTGAGCCAATAGACAACATAATGACAAATAGAGAAGAGTTAGAAATTGTCAATGATTTCATATTGCTTAGAGCTACAGTCAACATACTTGGAAACAGCAGCCAGGAAATTTAAAAAAAAATGTATTGCCTTGGGAAATTCTGCTTTTAGGGACCTCTTCAAAGTGCTGAAGAGCAAAGATGTCAGTTTGAAGGCTAAGGTAAGCTTAATTCAAGTCAAGCTCTTTTCAGTCATTGGCTATGTATTTGAAAGTTAGACAATGAATAAGGATGACAGAAGAATGCCTTTGAGTTGTAGTGTTGGAGAAGAGTGCTGAATATCCATGGATTGCCAAAAGGACAAACAAGGGTGTCTTGGAAAAGGTGCAACCAGATGCTTCTTAGAAAAGCAGAGGTAGTGAAACTTCATCTCCCCTGCTTTGGGCATGTTGTTAGGAGGAGTCAGTCCTCAGTTTTCCAAATATAACAAACATGGAAAAATGAAGAAGGAGAAGACTGTCCAGGAGATGGATTGTCATAATGATCATGAAAGTGAACATGATTGTATCAAGATGATAAAAATGGGACAGGATAGAGCAGGGTTCAAATCCATTATTCATAGGGTTACTATGACTCTAGTTCACTTGACGACACTAAACAACAATTACCTGCTAAATGTCCTCCCTATAACCACCTTCTGACCACTCCCAACTTCTCTGTACCTAGACTCAGCTCTTTCAAGAGATTTTCCCTTAACATGGTGATCAGATTTTTCTCAAAATATGATATTCTGGTTCTTTCTACTGAGGATTCTTGTCTTGGTGATGGTTGTAAACTTAGTGCTTTATATATGACTTGTGGTAGTACTCAATGAATTCATACTGAGATGGAAAGAAATTAAATACACAAACAATAAAAATAATTATCCACAGGAGTTGAAGACAGAAGATGTCATCTTTTTAATTTCTTTTATTTTTTTTGACTAGCCATCGTCCTTGTACTAGCAGCATCTTCATTGTCTAGGAAATTCTTAGAACCACAGATCTTGATTTTATCTCAGATTGGTTGATTCATAAACTCAGGGCACTGGTAGCATTGGTAGAGCTCTAGTGGCCAAGTGATAAGGAGTTGTGCCATCAGCTGCTCCACAGAAGAAAGGTGGATGTCCCCTGTGAGATTCGCTGCCTCTGAAAACCTGCTGGGCAGTCAACTATGAGTCAGTTCTGACTCAATGGTACATAACAACGATAATGACAAGTAATTCTGATGTACAATGTTTGTGAGTCATTGCTGTAAGCCTAGGGCCAAGCTCTGACCATAACATTCAACGAGTTGAATATTAAACATGAGAAAACCCCCTTTTTTCCTCAGCATGTTCAGCTAACCAGCTACTTCTTCATGCTTATTCTCCTATCTCCTTTTAACAGTTATTCTAAATTAAGAGCAGCTACAAGCAAAAATTTTGTTTAGTTCAATTTAACAGATAAAATACTAAAGGTAAGAGAAAAACTAAAGGAAACTTCTCTAATGAATGATAAGATTAAAACATGACAGAACCCCCTCAGGAATTTGGCCTAAGGCTCTTTCCACCACCCACCCAGAAGCCAAGTAAAATAAGTCAATGTCAATGTCATTGCTCTCAAGCCAGAACCATCTCACCACTGACCCTCCAGCTGGTTTCTGAAGCTATTAATTGTATGGAAAAGAGAGCTCATCTTTATCCCTTAGAATTACTAGTGGATTCAAATTGCCAAAGAGGCACAACCCCTGACAACACAACTTCCTTTTCACACAAATGCTTTTGGATCTTGTAAATAACTGTCTACCAGTGTTCCTGAGGATCTGGGTTCCTAAGGATCCTGAATCAACCTTTAAGGATCATTTAAGACAGTAGTCCACGCAGTTATGTTAGAGGAACAAAGTGGACCTTTTATTTGCTTTTGAGACACAGCTACCCAATTCATGCCAATTGTTTTGTTTTAAGCTGCTACCTTTCTACTGGCGCTGTGGTGGTTTAGTGGCAAGGAGCTGTACTGCCAACCCAAAAGTGCACTGTTCAAATCCTCCAGCTCTTCCACAGGAGAAAGAAGGACAATCTCCTTCCTGTGATTAACTGTCTTTGAAAACCCATTGGAGGGTCAGCTCTGAGCTGGTCTTGACTTGATGGTACACAACAACAACAACAAAAAAAACAGCAACACTTTTTTAGTAGGGAGGTCGGGTGGCAGAGTCTATAGGGAGGTGCACTGCTGACCCAAGAATCACTCCTCTCTGGTGGTTATACTCTTCTACTGCTGATACAAGAGAAAGATCAACAGTTTCTTTCTGAACAAGTTACAACTTCAGAAATCCACTTGTTAGCTATGAGTTCATCCTGACTTGATGGCAATAAGTTTGAAGGTTTTTTTAATACAGTATTTGTCCTTATGGGACTGAGTTAGTTCATTTAACATAAGGCTCTCCAGCCCCTCACAAGTTAGGTAATAATTTACAAAATCATTGCTCCTGCATGCTGTGTAGTATTCCTTTGTGTGAATGTACCATAATTTCTCAATCCATTCAATTGTAATTGGACATCTGGGCTGTTTCCATGCTCTTGCAGTGGTGAATAACGCTGTTATGAACATTGGTGTACAAGTCTCCATTTATGCCTCAGTTCTCATTTTCTCAGGATATATTCCAAACAGTGGAATAGCTTGGTCATATGGAGTTTCATGGTCAGCTTTTTGAGGAAACACCAAACTGTGTTCCAAAGTGGTTGTACCACTTTATAATACCAGTTTAATATACCAGTGTATAAGAGTTCCTATCTCTCCACTTCTTCTCCAACATTTATTACTTGCTGTCCTGAGTTTGAAGGTTGTTTTGATGAGAACCCTCTCAAGCATTTTAGGAATCCTTACTTCCAGACACAAAAGTCCAGCCCTAAATATATAAGTTTTAGCAGACAAGCCAACAGAAGTTCTGGAAAATGGGATAAAACTAACCTGCTCAAGGTTTTGTGTGTGTTTGGCTAGCTACTTGGTGCCCTCTTGTGTCCAATACCTAAACCCAAAAGAGCAGAAAGCCAACAAGTACGGTTGTTATTGTTGTCGCTATGTGATATAGAGCCAAAAGCGACCCATAGCTGACCCTCCTGTAGGTTTTCAGAGACTATAAATCACACAGGAGGAGATTGTTCATCTTTCTCCTGAAAAACAGCTGATGGATTTGAACTGGCTGCCTTTGGGCTTGCAGAGCAACACCTTGCCACTAGGCTACCAGTTGTTTTGTGCCATCAAGTTGCGATAGACTCATAGCTGACTCTCCAGTGGGTTTTCAGAGGCAGTAAACTGCACGAGAAGAAATTGCTCATTTTCCTGTGGAGTGGTGGGGTGGATTCAAACTATGTGCCTTTGGGGTAGTGGCACAGTTTCTTACCATTAGGCCACAAATTACTACTGTCATTGCCTACAGATGGCCTCTGTGGCCAGAGACAGGCCAGTGGGCTAGACTCTGGAGTGGATGTGGGCCCCTGTAGGCTCTCTGGGAAGTACTGAAAACCCTCTGGGTGCTTTCCTGGCCTTGGTGCCCCTCACTATCCCTCACTGGGACAGCTTGTCAAAATGCATCCAGGTGAATGGGTGACAAAACTCACGCAATTGCAATTGCACCTTCAGAAAAATGGATCAAAATGTTGCTCAAGCTCAGAGTTTGACCAGTAGACTTTTCCTGCTGACTTACTGCCCAAGCCAGAGATTTATTTCTCTCTCCCTTTTTCTTTTTTTTAAAAGAAAAATTGATTCTTTTGTTGAAGGCCATTTAGGCTACTGAGGAGAAACTGCAAAGGCAGTTCTGAATGTGCTAAGTCAGTGGGAGATAATGGGCACTGTGTGTCCAGAAAAGGTACGTCCCGCCCCCTGCTGTAAGTAGTCCTCAACTGGTTCCCACACAGGGACTGTCCCCTTCACTGGTCGGCTCCCTCTAACTCCCACTATCTCGGCCAGGTCACCAAATCATGTCCCGCCCTGGTGTGAAAAGACACCCTTTACACCCAGGCCATGATACACGCAAACACAAGACTTTCTCGAGGATGCAGGGTTGGTTCTGCACACAGACCTGAGCTCCTTTAGCAAACAGCACTGATTGGAGCCTAACGTCCTGACCAGGCTCAGGCTACTCCTTGTATAAACTGGATCACAAAACTCCTAGAAATCAAACTACTAAGGCTCTCCAAGTCCTAATCTTCCCATTGGCAAAGTGAAGATATCAACCTGGAAATTATCACAACGTACATCTAGGGATTTTATAGGCTGAATGTGCTCGGAAATCCCTGTAGACATACCTTCTTGCCTCTAACCACTTGAACACTTTTCAGCTCTCTTCCATTCAGCCTCTTTGCCCTTGTGCCTTAGGAACCTTTTTGTGGTCTGTGCCCGCAGGCCACGTTCCCTCCAGTGCTCCTCATACCCCAGCACTTCTCAGACCCCAGCAGTGGGCACATGGCATTGTGACTGTCTGTCCTCTGGCCTGTGCCTCTCCTGTAATAAATCTGTGGTGAAAGAGCAGAGATCACTTCTGCCTGATTCACTGTGACATCCACAGAGCCTGACACAGTGCTGAGCGCACAGTACATGCTCAGTAAACATGTGTTCAAATAACCAGATGAACTCAGAATGAAATGCCGTCGGGACCAGGGGCAGAGGCTGTCAGGACAATATTGTTGTTGTTAAGTGCTGTCAAGTCATAGACAGCTCATAGCAACGCTATGAACAAAAGACCCGAACACTTTTATAACTTTCATCATTTTTCCACGTTCATAGAGTTCTGGAAGCAAGCTATTTTGGAAGTGGATGCCATTCCTGCTTCCACGCATGTTTTAATTGAGGAGTTCCACCAAACACTGTCCGCCATGGGTAACCATTATTACACAGGACAATGGCTGAGGTAAAACATGCACTTACCCACTGTACATATTCTGTGGCCCTATCAAGTCAATCCTGAGTCTGTGGGCACGTATGCTAGTGAGGTCTCTGCCAGTGATTTTCAGAGCCCTCTATATTTTTAGGTGCATTAGTGACAAAAGCAAGTAGCACTTGTGGCCTGGTAGATAGAGAGTACACTGCCAACTCAAAAGCAGGAAGTTCAAATCCACCAAAGAAAAATGATGAGTCTTCTTCAAGGTGAGGCTTATAGCCTCTGAAAACCCACTGGAGGTCTGCTGTGAATCAGTTCTACCTTGATGGCAGTGAAAAACAAAACTAACCCAAAGGCTGGCAGTTTGAACTCAATCCATGTGGGAAGAAAAATCTAATGCTCTCTTCTCATAAAGATCACAGTCAAGACAATGCCATGGAGCAGTTCTGCTCTGTGGCATGTGAGGCCAAAGAGTGAGAGAACTGAATTAGCTCTGGGAAACAAGTTTGGGATTTGGGGAATTGTGAAAGAAGAATCCCCACCTCAACTAGAGAAGTTCTGCTTTTAGTATTTTGTGTTTATGGTTCTCAACGTGATTTTGTTGAAAAATGTTATTCTGTGGGCACAAAGCAAGAGAAGGAGGCATTTGAAAACCACTGATTTAGCCATATAGCCTTGTTTCACAGAGGAGCAAACAAAGACGCCAGGAGGAGAGAACCTTTTCCCAAGGTCACATAGCTCAGTCTCCGTGTGGAAAGGCCTGGACCACTGAGCCATTGTTTCTTCCCTTCCTGGAAGTGGGGAAGGAAAGGATGAAGTAAGGAGCAGAGGGTCTGAGAGCAGACTGAGCAGAGCTCAAGGGTGTGCAGAACATGATGCCTTCTTCTGGAGCCCTCACAAAGACATCCTTGTCCTAGCCCGCTCACCTGGTCTAGGCTTGTGGGGAGGTGTGGGAGTTGTCAGAGGGCCTGACTGAAGTAGAAGGGGTGTGCATTCACAAACGCACGCACACACACAGAGCACCTGTGTTCATGGGTTCATTCCCACCCATCCTCCTGCCTGGCACTGATCAATTGCCCTGGTTCTGTTGTTTCCTTAGGCCATGGAGGGCTGAACCAGCTGGGAGGGGCTTTTGTGAATGGCAGACCCCTTCCCGAAGTGGTGCGTCAACGCATTGTAGACCTGGCCCACCAGGGCGTTCGGCCCTGTGATATCTCCCGCCAGCTTCGGGTCAGCCATGGCTGTGTCAGCAAGATCCTTGGCAGGTAAGCACGAAATTCATCCCTCTGGCCATCTTCCTGCACGGCTTTCCTTCCGCAGCGCACTCCCTGGCCAACCTCCCTCTCCAGAGCTCAGGGTCAGCTCCCTAATGTCAGAATCCATGTTGGGGCCTGAGCATTGCATTCTGATGATTGGGTGGGGGGGCCCTGAGCATTGCATTCTGATAATTGGGTGGGGGGGCCCTCTGTGTTTTCAGCCATGTCCCTCCTCATTTTACTGTTCCTTTATTTTTTTCTTGCCCTTCTTTGCTTCTTTGTTTATTTCTCTTTCCTTTAGTTTCTACATCTTTCCTTTTCTCCTTAGACCTATTCCTCATTTTCTGTAGGGTTCTCTGCTCTGGAAGCAGGAGAATCTGATCCTAATCCCTCCCTCACACGTCCTCTCCCTGCTGAGACCTGGGGAAGTGTACTCACCAGGGAATGCAAAAACCATCCCAAACCTGACGCTCACAAGAAGGGAAGGCTTGAGTTTGTGTTTCACAAATCATAATAATCATTGGGAATAATCCTGCAAAAATAATCATTGGGATTGCTTGATTAAATTAAGATGTCCAGGTCCCAGCCCATAAATCAGCATTTCTGAAAGGTTGAACTAGATGCTGTATTTTTTATGTTAGGACTGGGTGATACTGGTAACCACTAAGCATTAAGAACAATTGCGTTCCAAGGCTCAGTGTTTCACAGTTCAGGTTGCGCATTAGAATCACTTGAAAAGCTTCAAATAAAGCAGGGTGTGGGGAGATCAATATCTAGACCCACTCCATACTATTAAGTCAGAACTTCAGGGGAGAGAAAGGGCACAAATATTGGTGTTTTGTTTTTTTTTTAATGCCTCAGCAATTCTGGTTAAGCCCTAATGACACAATGGTTAAAGTGCTTGGCTGCTAACCAAAATATCCTCAGTTTAAGCCCACCAGCCTTTTTGCAGGAAAACTGTCTGTCTGTGTCGGTAAAGATTTACAGCCTTGGTGCCCTTTGGGACAGTTCTGCTCTGCCCTGTACTGTTGCTATAAATCTGAATCAACTCCATGGCAATAGTTTTCTGGTCTGGAAAGCAATTTTAATGTGCAGTTGGAGTTGAGAAGCACTGACCCACAGGCTCATCAGGGACCAAGAATGAAAGAAAGCCTGCTTCTGTCTGACACAGTCATACATTCTAATCGCAAAAGCCACTTCTACCAGAAAGGCCTCTACATCTGAGGATTCAGAATTTGAGTCAACTTAGTGTATGGTCCCCCTTCCCCAAGTCATGTGTGGGTTAAGAGAAGCTCTGATTGACAAGGCAATTGGGTCTGAACTGTAATTGAGTCCTGGAAAATTCTGACTGCTTGAATGACACTGTCAGGGAAAAATGCGGACCTTTGCTAGGGCTGCAAGAGAGGAATCCTGGGATGATCACTGGCGTTTTGAAAGAGGATGCTAAACTTTGTATGGCAGTGACAAGTGAGTGGGATGTTAAAGGGAAAGACCTTTTTCCTCCATGGCAGAGGACACTAGAGAGTTTCTACAACAAAGCAAAGGAGGATGTCCTGGTGTGTATCCAACTGGATCAAGTAAAGAACTGAAGGGACAAATTAGGGGCCTTATAAAGGTAGGCTCAGTTTAAGGAAGAAGACTTGGACAGGCATAATAGCGAGGCTGAGATTTCACAGTCCATGAGGTGGAAAAGAGACTCGTTTTGATAGTGATGGGCTTGGGGTGAGGGCTGCGGTTCAGGCTTGGACAAGATGAAAAGCGAAACAAGACAAGGCCCACGAAGGCCGGCTCACTTCCTTGGGTAGACATGAAGCTAGAGCAGTCAAGGAAACGGTAACGTTTTAGCCAAGAGGAGATTGAAGAAACCACTAAGCACTTACAATATTCACCCAGGACACATATACCAGATTTCCTTTCTTAGAAGAAACTCTTTCTTGGCCCAGAAGAGATTCCTATGAATTCTCTGTTACAGGACATTGGTTAGAGAGGGGGAAAGGCAGAGCCAGGCATTGCACAGTGAGGTCTACGGCAGAAGGTTCTGACTGAGCAATAGCATAAACTTACCTGAGCAGTGAAAACAGACCAGCCTGGGCACATTGGGGGTTTGAGACAAACCATTGGGGTATATTTTACCCCCATATTCCTGCACAGAAGCTTCTGAATACAGCCAGAGTCTCAGGTTGAATCCCTGCCCCAAGGTCCCACCTGCTTATTGGGTAAATCTTTGGGGTTCTCTATTGGAGTAGGTACTACGAGACTGGAAGTATCCGGCCTGGAGTGATAGGGGGTTCTAAGCCCAAGGTGGCCACCCCTAAGGTGGTGGAGAAGATTGGGGACTACAAGCGACAGAATCCCACCATGTTCGCATGGGAAATCCGAGACCGGCTACTGACGGAGGGTGTCTGTGACAATGACACGGTGCCCAGTGTCAGCTCCATCAACAGGTGAGAAAGGAATCCTCTGAGGTGGGATTTAGGGGAATTTTAAAAGGGGTCTGATGATGAAATTTGCTTTGGTGAAGAACAGCTTGCAAAGGGAATTTGTGCAGATGAATTAGGCAGGACGCTCCCTGGCACAAGACCTCTCCCCATTTGTCCTTGGGCATCTCCCAAGGCATTCTTCTATCCTCGGGGAATATTAGTAGTAATTACCTTTTTCATTCATCATATCTTTTCATGCACTAAAAATATTCTTCAGTAGTTTCCTCAGCCACAAGGCCTCTAAGCTGGCTCTCACTCAAGCATTCAGGCATTTGTTAAGTCACTCAGTTACTCCTTCTCTACTTTCAGCAATCATTTACTCACTCATTCCTTCACACATCATTCGATAATTAGGTACCAGGTCCAGAAACATATGAGTCCTGTGTTTGAAGAGCTTACAGGCTAATGAGAATAGAGACAGTAATCAAGAAACCACACGAACAGCTGTGAAAGTGATCTCTGAGTGTGTGCAGGTGATGTGGTTTAAGGGAGTTAGAAAAGGCCTCTCTCTGAAGAAACAGTAAAAGTTAATTAGATGAAAGGAGAAGGGGCATGAGCCCTAGATAGGAGCAACAGCATGTGCAAAGGCCCTGTGTCCAAGAAGCTGAAAGATGACTGAAGATGCCAGCAGAGGTTGCCCTTCAGGGGCTGGTAGCCTGTGAGTCTTGCCTTTAACCTATTAGCAATGGAAAAGCCTTTGGGCATATGTTAAGCAAGACTCCAACTTGAATTTCAGGAAGTCCATTCTGGCTGCAGTAGGGAGACGAGATTAGAAAGGGGTGGATGGAGACAGACTGGTAAATGGTCCTAGAGAGACATGGCAGTGCCATATACTAAGGATGGTGTTTCCATACCAAGAACCAGTTCCACCTCCTGACCACCCTGTATCAGGCTCTAAATCTTAACAGAAGATTACTTCTGCTTTCTTCTGTGGAGTGGCTAGGAGGTTTGAACTGCTAACACTCAACCTTCTACACCCCCTGGGCTTTTTAGTGAGACAGAATTGTTGCTATTATGAGGTGCCATCGAGTAAACCAGGACTCATAGCCACCCAACGAAGAATGGTTCTGGGTCCCGGTCCTGTCCTGCACCATCCTTACCATCCCTGATGTACTCAAGCCCATTGCCGCATTCACCGTTGGTCTAGCTTGTTGAGGACTTCCTGTCTCTGACCTGCCACCTTGCCCAGCATGTCTTTTTTCCCCAAGGACTGTCCCCTCCTAAAAGCTCAGAGAGTGTGAGATGAAGGTTCACTGTCCTTGCCTCTAAGGAGCACTTTGCTTGACCTAGCTAAATGTTGGCAAGGTTTAGAAGATCCAGCTCACAGAATTGATGATGACTTTGATGGGAAAGTGCTGGAGAAGTGGATGTTAAATCCACCTCTATTTCTGTCTTAAATGCCAATCATAAATGGAGGACCTGGGATCCTCCCCAGAGGAAGGTGTAGTGCTTGATCCTGGAAAGGGTGGGTTTGAGGTGCCTTTCAAATACTTGAGTGAGGTGTCAAAAAGGCAATTAGATCTGGGAAACCTTGAGTCAGTTCCCTTCTCTTTGTTGATCTTTTCTCTCTGCTCCATAGAATCATCCGGACCAAAGTACAGCAACCTTATAACCCTATGGACAGCTGTGTGGCCACCAAGACGCTTAACCCAGGACACACACTGAGTGAGTGCTGATCCCATCTGTGCGCATGCACACCTCTACCTAAACATACATCCACACAGCCACACAATCACATATCAACATGCCCACATCTGTACCCTCATAAACACAGATGTTGGTGGGTACTGTCGAGTCAGAACCAACTCATATTTGACCTTCCAGAAGGTTTTCGGAGACCATATAATTGCACAGGAAGAGATTGCCCATCTTTTTAAAGAGTAAAAGTGTATTTAAACTATGTGTCTTTGAGTTGACAGAGCAACTCCTTACCACTAAGCCACCAGAGCACCCTTTCATCTAGATGTAGGCTGAGCCAGCTAATCCTCTGTTGTAAGGCCTTGCCTGGTTTCCAGGGAAGGTTTGCTTTACAGTGGTTAGAAATATCCAGTAGCCGAAATTCTTCAGATTGCATTGACTCCGAAGCTCTCTCTCTCATCATTAGTGCCCTCAGAGAAGAGACCTTCAATCCTCCCCAGAGGTCAACCCTCTCCAGGTTGTTGCTTCTTCCACAGGGGCAGCTGAAGCAGCAAGAAGTGACACGTCACTTTCATGTCCTGACTCTCGCCTTCTCGCCCTCTTCAGTCCCCAGCTCAGCTGTGACACCGCCAGAGTCACCACAGTCAGATTCCCTGGGTTCCACCTATTCAATCAACGGGCTCCTAGGGATTGTTCAGCCGGGCAGCGACAGCAAGAGGAAGATGGATGACAGTGAGTGTCGAGGGGACAGGGGTGCAGGAGGGCAGTTGATGGGACAGAAGTCCGTCTCATGGACTTGTCTGTGAGTATTACTCCAGCCCTTAGAGTGGCCGGACCTGACTCTAAGACAGCCACAGCCCAGGGCCTGGGAACAAGTTCAGCCTGCTCTGCTCCCCCACACTAGCCTGACTGCATGGAGCCAGGGAGCAGGGAATGGGCTGATAGATGCATCCTGCTGAAACTCTCTCCTGGGACACCAGGCGACCAGGACAGCTGCAGGCTGAGCGCTGACTCCCAGGGCAGCAGTGGTGGGCCTCGCAAGCACCTTCGCACGGACACCTTCAGCCAGAACCACCTCGAGTCACTGGAGTGTTCCTTTGAGCGGCAGCACTACACGGAGGCCTATGCCTCCCCCAGCCATACCAAAGGCGAGCAGGTGAGGACACCCCAGCCCTGAGGGAGGGTGGGGAGCAGGGCACTTCAAAAGCCCTACTATGAGCTTTAGTTCATCAGCAGTCCTAACATCTGTCTCTCTCTCCTCACAGTCCCCTTCACTTCCTTTATCCTAGAGCTCAAAGGCTGCTCTGTTTCCCTCCTGAAAGAACTGCACAGTATAATTATTAGTTACTCCAGACTACAGGTGCAGGCCCCAACACTGGCGGGCACTACAAAGCCTTCAGTCACTTTCGCCCCACCTCCAGTGGGTCGCTCTGCACACACCTTGGCTCAGCATTATGCATGTTCCTGGACATACCAGCCTCATTCACACCTCCCTGCCCTTGCCCTCTCCAAATATCTTTCCTCCTACCCTTTTGCCTGGAAAAATACTACCGAGGCATCATGACTCAGCACAGGCCCATCAGTGCAACCCACACCTCTAAGAGAACCCAGCTCGCCTCACCCTGCATTGCCCAGCTTGCTGCCAGTTTGACATACTCTCTGTCAAACAGCTAGTGCTGTGATGATCTGGATGCTGGTGTCGAGGGACAGTGGGACAAGGCCGTCCCATTCCTTAAGGACATCTTTATTTTTTTCCACCTGTAATTTCCAGTGCATGGCACAGTACCCTACCTGCAATAAAATAAGCCCAGCCAGTTGCCATCAAGTGAATGCAGACTTGGGGCAGCCCCATGTGTGTCTGAGGAGACGCATAGGAGTTTCATGGCTGTCACCTTTCAGGAACTTTCAGGAACAGTTTGCCAGGCCTTTCTTCTGAGATGCCTTGGGATTGCTTGGACCCACCCATCTTTCAGTTAGTCCTTAAGTGCTAAACCGTTTGCTCCATGCAGGGACTCTTGTAGTTATAACGTTGTTGTTGTTAGCTGCGATCAGGAGGCACAGAGCCATAGCAACCCTACGTATAACAGAATGAAACACTGCCCAATCCCACATCATCCTCACAATCTCAGCTGTGTTTAAGCCTACAGTTGTTGCAGCTGTGTCAATCAATCCCATTGAGTGACTTCCTCTTTTTTACCAACGCTCTAATTTTCCAAGCATGCGGTCCCGTTCTGAAGACTGGTCTCTCCTGATAGAACTTTTAATGTTTGTGAGATGAAGTTTTATCATCCTCGCTTCTAAGGAGCACCCTGCTCACACTACTTTTGTTGTTGCTGTTGTTAGGTGCCATCAAGTTAACTATGGCCTGTAGCAGCCCTGTGAACAACAGATCTGAACCCTGTCCTACCCTGTGCCAGCCTCATAATCTCTTCCATTGTCACAGTCACTGTCAGTCCATCCCGCTGAGGGTCTTCCTCTCTTTTGCTGACCCTCCACTTTCTAAGCATGATGTCCCTAAGGAATAGTCTTTCCTTGTTGTTGTTGCTGCTGTTATGTGCCAAGTCGCCTGCAGCCCTCATAGCTCTGAAATCTGCTCTATTCTGTGCCAAATTTATTGTCTCTGACACAATTACCCCCATTATCCTAGTCACTGAATCAATCTAGCTCATCAAGGGTCTTCCTCTCTTGCACTGTCCTTCACACTCCCAAGCATGATGCACCTCTCCAAGGACCCCAAAGTATGTCAGACGAAGCTTTAGAATCCTTGCCTCCAAGGAGCAGCCTGATCACCCTCTCCAGAATAAACTTGTTTTTTCTCCTAGAAGTTCAGGTTGTATTTATTTAATACTCTTTTCCAGCATGTGAAATAAAGGTTTATTACATCAATACAAATTCAAGAGTTGAGAAACCTAGGATAATAAACTGCAGGAGGCACTTTTCTTCCCAGCACTGGGGACAGGGGAACCTTTCATTTGTGCTGGTGGGTGGCTGTTGTTGAGAGCTGGCACAGGTGTCAGAGGAGCTCCCTTGAGTCCAACAGAAAGAAGATCCCAAACTCAGACCTTATAGAGTCACCGGTCTTTTCATTGTTATCAACGGTCTTGGATTCCTCCTTCCCCTCATCTCACAAACTTAAATGGCTGAAAAGTTGACTGGGTTCATTTCTGCTGAACTCTCTGCTCATCCTTATTTAATCCCATGTGCCTTTAAGATCTGAGTAGAACAATGGCCACGAAGCCCACAACCAGCTAAATGACCAGCTTCTGGACCCATGCCAGCCCCTGCAGTGGAGCAGGAAATCTGCGTCAGCAATTTTGTCAGCCTGGCTGTGGCAACCACGAAGGGAGCATAGAAAGCCAGGTGTCAGCAGCTGTGGGTAGAGGGCCTGGGTGCTCATCAGTCTGGCAGCGCCAGCAGCTGCCAAATGGCTCCAGGAGGAACATGGGACTGCGAGGGGTGGGGATGCTGCAGGGAATCACTGTGTAAGAGCAAGCAAGTGGCAAACCAGGCCAAAGAAAAGCTGCCTCAGAGTCCCAGGAACCCTTGGTGTCCCAGAGCCTGGCTCCGCCCTGAGTTCCCCAGGGCACCTTGTGTGATTAAAGCATCGTGGGATGTACACATTCAGAGAATCCTGCAGTGAGACAGTGTCAGAGCACAGGCAGACTTGCTGACCACCTCGTCACGCTTTTCCAGTTGTGTGGAGATGAGGACAGGGCCAGGGACATGTGGGAGGGCTATGAGGAAGTAGGTTATGGCATTCAGCCTCCTACAGAATCCTCAGCCCTGGTTTCACTCAATCCACTGGCAAGAAGCTGAGCTGCAATTCCGAAGGCACGGGGTTCAAGTTCACCAGCTGCTTTGTGGGAGAAGGATGGGCCATCTCCTCCCATGTGATTAACTGCCTCTGAAAACCCACTGAAGGGTCAGCTATGGGTCAGTTCCGGCCTGATGGCACACAACAACATCTTTTTATATATTTTGCCTTCATGTCAATCTTTTGAAGACTGAGAAAACAACTGAACTACTCTAACCATTCAACCCAAAGATGAAAATGGGATCCAGAATCCCCTTATTATTGTTGTCAGCTGCTGTGGAGTTCATTCTGGCGCAAGGACCTCATCTGTCACATAGTAGAACCATCCCATTAGCTGCTCCTGGCTGTAATCCTTATGGAAACACAGCACCAGTCTTCTTTCTGTAGGACCCCGGGATATGCACTTTGAGCCAGCAGTCAAGTACAACTGTTTGCACCATCTAGTGACCTTCTGCCAATAACTTATCCACTTGCTCAGTCAGTCATTTTTTTTAGTCTGTCTTGGTTTGAGAGACAGGGAGAAGCTAACCTGTGTTCAGAGCCCCTTCTGGCCACATAGTCTTTGCCAGTCATCATTCTGACTCTCTAGTCTATAAAAAGTCTTGCTACTAAGGCAAAGATCATGCCTCTTTGGTGCAACCCACCAGAGGCTCCACGGGAGAAAGATGGGTCCTGTGGGATTCATCGCCTTGGAAACCCAAAGGAGGATCAGCTATGAGTCAGTTCTGACTTGATGGAAATGTGTGAGGTGTGTGTTATTACCAAGAGAAGTCAAACAGGAAAGTTTGCATTGTGCCAGGCTGCTAACCAGCATGTTGTCAGTGTGAACCCACCCCCAAGGGAGGAAGGTAGGCAGTATCCTCCTGTAAAAATCGATGGCAGAGCTACCTCTATAAGTGAATTGGCTAGATGGCAATGAGTTTAGTTTTGTTTTGGCATTCTTACCAAGCACTTTGTGCTAAGCATTTTAGTTATATGCCATAACGTATTGTTATTAGGAACTCTGGTGGCCTAGTGATAAGAAGTTGCACTGCAATCCCAAAGGTATGTGGTTCTAATCCATTAGCTGCTCCAGGGGAGAAGGATGGACAACTTCCTCCCATGATTAGCTGCCTCTGAATCAAACCCATGGAGGGCCAGCTATAGGTTGATTCTGACTTGATGGTATTCAATAACAACAACACATGCCATCAAGTCAGCACGAACTCATACCTGGCCCTCCTAGTGGGTTTTCATAGGCTATAAAACCAAGTTGCTCCTTGGAGCCAAGAATTTTATTTTATTTTTATTTTTTTTTCTTTCTTGCAATTCATTTTTTTAATTTTAGAGTGGTTTACCTACAAAGTTTGTATACATTGCCCCTCACACTGGATCCACTACCTCCCCGACCCAACCCCTTCCAACCATCAAACCTTCTGGGCCTCATAATTACCATACACCCCCACCACTCATCTCCACCCTCTGCTCTCCCCTCTTCCCCCTACTTAGTTCCCTATACATGTTTTACTAGTTATCTATTTCTACAACCATGGTTTTATACAGTATTTGCCTTATGGGAGTGAGTTAGTTCACTTAGTATAATACTCTCCAGTCCCTCCAAGTTAGGTAGACACTATTAGTGGGATTGTAAAATGGTACAACCATTCTGGAAGGCAGTTTGGAGCTTCCACAGAAAGCCGAACATAGAAATTCCATATAACCCAGCTGTTCCACTGCTTGGACTATACCCCAAGAAAATGTGAACTGAGGCATAAATGGAGACTTGTACACCAATGTTCACAGGAGCATTATTCACCATTGCAAGAACATGGAAACAGCCCAGATGTCCAACCACAATCAAATAGACAGAGAAAGTATAGTACATTTACACAATGGAATACTACGCAGCATGCAGGAGCAATGATTTTTAGAGTCAAGAATTTTTAAGCTCTGTTTCACACATAACTTTGAGCATGTTGTCAGGAGAGACCAATCCTTAGAGGAGGACATCATGCTTGAAAGGATGGAGAGTGAGCACAGGAGAGGAAGACCCTGGGTGAGAAGGATTGACACAGTGACTGTGGCAATGGGGTCAAGTGTGTCAGAGACAGTGAATTTGGCTAGGAAAAGGCAAAGTTCAAAGTCAGTGTTCATAGTGTCACTATGTGTTGCAGTCAACTCAACAGCATCTAACAACAAAACAAAATTGTACAGGTGGAGACTGCCCATCTTTTGCCTGTGGAGCAGCTGGTGGATCTGAACCATGAGCTTTGGGTTGCCAGCTCTGCTCCTTACCATTAGGTCACCAGATAGACAAACCTAAAATCTCATCTACTCTTTACATGAGCCCTGTGAAGTGGATTTTACTATTCCTGGCAGATAGTAAGAACATGAGGGCTCAGAGAAAGGAAGTAGGCTGAAGTTGTTGGGCCGGGTATTGCAGAAGCAGGACTGAAACTCAGTTTCTTGAACTCCAGAGCCCAAGTTCTAATGCACTGTGCCACATTGTCCCCCAATTCAATCCTAATTCTGGGTGGTTGGCGGGGGTGGGGGGGGAATCTGGCCACTCATGGGCATTGAAGCTTTGATGAGCTCGGCTTTGGTTTTGTCTTTTTTTCTTATCAGAGTTGCCTGGAATTTTGAAGAGCTGTAAGATTTTGAGTAGTTATTTTTGTCTAAAACTGAGGTGCTCATATGGCATTTGAAAGTTTCCTTACACTCACTAGAAATTGGGTATTTTGTTCAATCCCATTAAGCTACCCTCTGAGTAACTCCACCCTGTCTCACAGTGGGCCCCCGTGGAAGGCACAGAACCAGAACTCCATCTAGTCACTAATTGCTAGTGTGTACTAATATGAAAGAAGTGAAGAAGAAATCCATCTGTTCTGATGGAGTACTGCACTTTCTCTGAAGATGGTAAAAGATTAAAAGACCTGGGTTTTAGTCTCAGTTTTATTATCTGCAACACTTACCTTTCTGAGTTTCAGTCTTTCCACATTGAAAAAAGAAACCTTTTACAAAACAAAAAGCTAGACTTGTCTCACCCTGACCCCACTGCCAGGCTATTGATGGGCAAAGCTCTTCTCAAATAGAAGGGGCGCTCCTGTTATCTAGTTGAGGGCAATCTTGAAAAGCGCAGATATTGCTGTGCTGCTTTGGTTTAGATCTTGGCTGCTGACAAAGAAGTATGACAAGTTCCCCACCTCTCTGTGTCTAAGTTTCCCACATGGATGGAATGGAAATAATACTAACATAATCAGAGTAGTGAGTACTGTGAGCTGACTACCCCCTGCCTTTGGTGCCATCTTACCCCCTTTGAGGCTCAACAGTGAAGGTTCAGGGGGCAGAGGCTGCCCTTTGAAGTAGACTTGCTGTTCGCTTCCTGGGCTTGCATTTCACCAGTGGCACTGAATTACAGAAAGGGGAGCCTTGAGCCAAAGGACTGGGAGATAACAGTAGGAACGTTGGTTTGAGAAGAACAGATTAAACAAGCTAAATGAAGGCAAGAAAGCAGAAGGGGGAATGAGAAGAGTTTTTCCTGCCAGCTCCTACAGCCTCACTGCCCTCACTGTCCTGGGAAGGGCTTTGTTTGCTCTTGCTTGCCTGAGATCCTAAAGCCAGGGATCCCAAAGCCTTGGCCACTCTGTGCGCTGACTTCTCTTTCCTCCCCAGGGCCTCTACCCACTGCCCTTGCTCAACAGCACCCTGGATGACGGGAAGGCCACGCTGACTCCTTCCAACACACCCCTGGGGCGCAACCTCTCCACTCACCAGACATACCCCATGGTGGCAGGTATGGAACCCAGAATGTCCTGGGTCATCTGGATCCAGCTGCAAAGGTGGGATGGCGGGCAGGGGAAGGCAGAGCTTGGCCAGCTGTGACGAGGAAGGCACTGGAGCCCTGGGCTTGTGAGGAGGCTGGACTGTGCTCGCTGGGCCTCAAGATGGGCTCAGCCTCATGTTAGCTCCTCACTTGCCCCCTCTCCTCCGCGGGGACTGAAGGGCCGCACACTCATGCACCTTCACAGTAGAGGGCACAGCAGGGAGGCCAGCTTCTCCCTCCCCTCCACATTCAACCTGAGGAACATCTTCAGGCCCCTGCCTCCGCGCGCCCCCAGACTCAGACAGGAGCCCAGGTCTGCCTGACCCAGCCCCCGCCCGCCGCACCCCTCCCCACATCTCATGCTTGGTTTGTGCATGTCCCCACCCCATCATCTCACACCCCTCTCTCCTTGTTGTCTCCCTCCCTCCGGCAGATCCTCATTCACCCTTCGCCATAAAGCAGGAAACCCCCGAAGTGTCCAGTTCTAGCTCCACCCCTTCCTCTTTATCTAGCTCCGCCTTTTTGGATCTGCAGCAAGTCGGCTCCGGGGTCCCAGTCGGTGCCTCGGGCCCGCCCTTCAATGCTTTTCCCCATGCTGCCTCCATGTACGGGCAGCTCTCGGGTCCGGCCCTCCTCTCAGGTACGACAGGGAGGTCCCCACGTGCAGATGTCTTGGGGGGCGGGAGGGGGGGTCCACAGGGCTGGCCGCCTGCGCCCCTGGCTCGGGCCCAGCCCGTGATGGCCTCCAGGTACGTCCCCTTTAACCCTGTTCCCTAATTCCTCTGGCAACTTTTGGAGGTGCCGAGATTGTCCCTCCTCCCTGGCCAGCACAGGCCTTGGAAAGGGGCTGTGAGGAAAGCAGGTTTCAGAATCCTGCACCAAGGCTCCCTGGAAATGTTGCATCTTGGACTAGGTACCAGGGGCTGTGAAATGTTGAATGAACTCTTGGTTGTGGTAGAAAATAATTTTGGTAAGAAAAAGCCATTGGTTTTTGGAGCCAATTTCAGGCTCAGATTTTTAAAGAAGACAGAGTGATTTTAGTCCCTACAGTGTAGCTATCTTCACACCACCTAAACATGTCACCCTCTGAGGACACACAAGAGTTTTTTAAACAAGGTGAACTGAGAGTGAGTCGTCAACCTGAAAGATGGAGGGATTGTTGCCTTACCTCAGGAATCTCACTGACTTCCAAAAAAGTTAAATGAGGACACAGGCCTGGGAAGAGAGAGGGCCTGGCAAAGGGGCAGTGTGGTGCTCAACTGGGTGAAGCTAGACCTGAGCCTGGCAGGACAGATCCCTGTAGAGATGTCCCTGGCAGGCTAACCAACCAGGGCCTGAGGAACCGCTGAAAAATCAGAAAGGAGCAGGCTGGGGAAGATCTGAGGTAGAATGCAGGCAAGGGCAGAGACCCACAACGGTCTTTAGTACCTGAGGGGTATACAGGAACGAGACTGTTTTGGACAAGTGCCCAGGCATTGAACCAGGACCAATGAAAGAAGTTAGAGGTGCAGCAAATTCCAGTTCTGTGTAAGGGAGGATTGTCATAACATTATAGCAACCTCCAGGGAGTGTGGGTACTTAGTGATATCTCCCCACTTACCCTTGCTACCTGCTAGAGCAGAGACAGATAAGATGCTGGGGGAGCTGTTCTAGAAATAGCTCTGAGTTAGACAAGTCATCGTCAGGTTTGCGGACTTGTTGGTCCCACTACCTTTACAGAAGCCAAGTATGAAAAATGGAAATAAAGAGCTATTCTGTTTAAAGTAGGAACCAAACTCCTCAAAAGTTTATGGTTTCATTTGAAAGCCATTGCACTCAACTGGGGAAGCTCTGATAACCTAAGTGTTCAGGAGCTGTGCTGCCAATCTAAAGATCCACAGTTCAAATCCACTAGCTGCTCTGTAAGAGAAAAATGAATAATCTCCTCCTATGTGATTTATTGCCTCTGAAGATCCACTGGAAGGTCAGTTATAAGTCTGTTTCAACTCGATGACATCCAACAACAACAGGACTCAACCAAGATCTCTACAAGCTAGAAAGTCCTCAAAGCCAATTCATTCAGTCTGTAAATCTTGTAGTCCCTCCCTCCAAATGGCCATATTGTCTGCCAGGTCTTACTAACACCTGCTTCCCCCCCCCAACTCTGTGATCCCTACATCTAATATGGGAGGTCATCTTGAAAGGATGGGCACAGAGGTAAATAAAGGAGACTTGGGGTGTAGGCAGAGAGGCATCAGTTAAAATCTGAATTGAGAAACTATTGGCTCACACTCTTGGGAATTTCTAAAGAGGATGAAGTCAGTGGAGATGGGCCATTTGTTTTAGCCAGAGTGATTAAAAGAGAAAAATCTTTGGATTGAGTGACAGCCAAAGAAACTAGGATGGGGAGGGGAACAGGGAGGTGTGCAAAGGAGGCTCACCCCTGCTGTGGGTGGTTGGAGCTGAACACTGGCAAGCCAGTGTGCCTGATGTGAATGGTAGGATTGGCTCTGGGGCTTGCAAGAAAGCAGATAAGAGATGAGGGTATGAATGAAGTATGTGATAATGGGAAATGGTTCCTTAGCTCCTGTCCACACTGCAGCGATGCTGAGAAGAACCAGCTAAGAAGAGAAAGAAGGGTGGATGGCAATGGAAGCTGATATATGGAAGCGCAGACTTAAGCTGGTGGCTTCATCTGTAATGAGTTGCACAGCCAACCCAAATGCTTCATCTCTCTATTGGTTTGAGTCCAGAAGAAGGTTGGACAGTCTCCTCTTTCATGCCATTCGTAACCCAGGAAATCCAATGCAGGATCGGCTGTGTGTTGATGGCAAAGAGTAAATGAGATGAAGTTCAGTTGGAACAACCCAGGGCAAACTCCTTGTTCCTAAAGCCCCTGCACTTAATCCATACACTTCTTGCCACTCTTCTGGGTCTCAGGTATCCTCTGTCAGCATGCAGTCAAATCATGATGACATTTCCAACTCTGCAGCTCCTGTTGATGTGAACATTCTCATTGCCAACTTCAGGACTACCATTCATCCAGCCCGTTAGACAAAACCATGAGCAGCAGATACCAGATGGTTGTTCAGGCAGCAGCTATCCTGGAGCTGGGCAGTGGGTGCCAGTTACTCAGCACCTGCCTGTCTTTGAGCAGCTGTACCCTCAAAGCTAGGCTCAGATGATGATGTCCTGCAAAGCATGAGCACCCAACTGCAAGGCTCAGTCTGAGGGTTGAAAATTCAGCACACAAATGGGGACACTTGGAAAAGTAGAGCGATAGCCACACTTGGAGAGGCTGGGATCCTGGGCGGATTGCCAAGAACAGGAAGCACTCAGGGCTCTCCTTCATGCAGCCAGGCCCAGCTCTGCCCAGTGGGTCGCCAGGCTGATGATGTGCCGAGTCCAGCATGTTGGGCTGGAGCTCCTTAAATCCTGCATACCTAAGACCTCTGATTGAGATTGTACCTAAATGCCTAGCATGAGGCTGAACCAAGGGGAGAGTACCAGGGAGATTTAACAAGGAGGACAGTTAGGACAAGAATGAGCTTTAGAACCTAGGGTACAAAAAAACCTGTCCAAGAGATGAAAGGGTAAATTGAAAGGGAAGAACAGACAAGATTGTCCTAGGTAATGTCACAGGCCAGGTAGCTGTCATCCTATATTTGTTGGTAGAGACAGCAACCTGTCCAACTGATTGGAAGAGACTGTGCCTGATCCAAGTCATGGTCTTTTCATTATCCTTTGTTGTTGTTGTTATGTGCCATCGAGTCGTTTGCGACTCATAGCGACCCTATGCACAACAGCCCTAAACTGTGCTCTATCCTGCGCCAACCGCACCGCCTCTGACACACCCATCCCG